TTTCTAATTACTTTATTACTATTTATTTATTTATTTATTTATTTATTTATTTATTTGTTTATTTATTTATTTAAATACACATCCAACAGGCGATGCCCAATAATAGCATATGTTAAGTCTAGTAATAAAATATAAAAAAAGTTAAAAGAGAGAAAAATTAACTATGAAAAAAATAGAGAGAAAAAAATTGAACAAACTTACAAATAACACAGATATAAAGAACAAAATAAAAGGCAAACAAACTATAAAAGACAGATATGACTACATAAGTAAAGCATTTTTTATATCATACTGTACTTCGAAACAATTTGATACAATGGTGATGCTACTAGGATGTTACTACGTGCTGCGGGTAGACTAAAAACATTATTACTTCTAGCTGATAGACGCGGTACTTTGATATCAATAATACTTAAAACACCTGGACAGTCCAAAATGTTATGTAGAACTTTATACAAAAACATTACTTGAAAAACAGATCTTTTAGCAAGGGCATGAATATTGAAACGATCAAGTAATAGATCATGCGGAAAACCCGGAAGGGGATATGTACCATCCAATAAGTACACAGCTGATTTCATAAACCTACGCTGTACTCTTTCCAAAGTTGCAATTTGATTAGCATAAATTGGGTTCCAGACTATTGATGCATATTCTAATTTAGAACGAATAAAGGTAGTGTAGAGCAATCGTAGTGTAGAAATACTGATAAAGCCTTTGGAATTCCTTATTATGAACCCCATATTCTTGAAAGCAGATGAAGCAGTCATAGAAAGATCTAACTCAAAAACCTCGCTTCGACTGCCAAAGACTTACTTTGTTGCTCTTTTGGAAATAACGATTTTTCAGCTCAATTTTCGTTAAATACGTCATCCGCGACACACACTAATTTCCAAAAGACGCCTTTTACTGCGCCGTACCTTGATGGCGTAAAGAGCGCCAATAACAGTTAATTAGGAAAGTAAACCGAAAGCGACCCATAAACTTAAAAGACAATAGGTATAAAATAAAGCGGAATTGCCTCGTTCCCGAAAACGTCCAACCGTCAAGCGAGGAGCGATAACGGCAAAGTTAGCAACAGCGAGCAGGCGATACCAGATCGTATTAGTGTAATTGACTGAAGGTTGGCTGTCTGGAACGACGTCGCGCTCCCCACCGAACAAGCCTAATCGAATTTGTACTTTTCCTTATTTCATTTGGCTGGTCTCTGTTTTATTTCGGGCATTAACATGCGATCGCTTTGGATTTAACTTTTCCAATCCCGGGGTCGCCGCTGGAAACCGGATTTTCTCATTCGATGGAGAAAAACTATTAGATAAACAAGTCCGGATAGAGAGGAAACATTTTATAGCAAGTGTTTTCTTGCTTGCCTCTGATCGTTTCAAACGCGACACATGTGTTGTTTTCTCAAATTTAATCTGGCACATAATTGAGAAAGCTCATCAAAACTACATAAAATTAAAGAGAGAAAGGTGGAAAATTACACAGGCCGACAAGATTTTAACCCTACACCCCAAGTATACTTTCTCAAAGATTCTAGTGCGCTAAATTCGAAATCCGAGGTCCAAATTTCTCAATTGGCTCTGGTTTTCGAGATATCCTAACCTAAAAGTGCCAAAATCGAGGATTTTTTTTGACATAATTTGAGGTTATGTTACATGGATAGGTTAATTTTTTGCTATAACCATTAATGGGATCTTATTTATTAGTTTCACTTATTTCTCGATTTTTGAATAAACCCTCAACACAGCATCACAAACTTTATGGTTTTATGAGCTTAGGGTTTATGAGTTCAGGATTGAGCGTTTTAGCCTTTTTTGCGTGTAAATGTATTTCTAGATTGATATAATGCGTAAAATATCGGCCATATCGAATTTTATATTCAAAACTCGGAAAATAAGTCAAACTAGGTACTAAATTTCAAGATGCGATATCTCAAAGACAAAAAATGATATCGGGATAAATCCAAGTGCGCTTTGAAGAGTAAGTATAGTATCCCATTAAGGGTTTTAGGTAAAAAAAATTGCCTATCTATGTAACATAACCTCAAATATGTCAAAAAATCGCGATTTTGGCTAATTCAGGTTAGGATAACTCGAAAACCAGAGCCAATTGAGAAATTTGGACCTCGAATTCAGCTGTCCAAAATCCTTCGGAAAAGTACATTCTGGTTTCTGGGTTAGAGGGTCGGGCAAATTTTGTCGGCCTGTGTTATTTTGAAGAAAGAAAATGGCAACATAAACAATTTTTGACAATGCACACTCTGTCTTATCTTTTTTTGACCCTCCATTTAGAAAAGAAATGGTAAAGATTAGAGTTTTAGGAAATTTTCTTACGATCTCAATCAAATAACAACATATACAGAGAGCAATATTTCTACAGGGTATTCTATGTCGAAAAAGATTACTTTTTTTTATATATAAACGTGGATTCAAAAATTCTTCCTAAGGAAGTTATAGCCACTTAAAGGGGTCACTCCGATTATGGTTTTGTCTAAACAACTCTGCAACAAGTTGAGATAAAATATCATAGCTTTTTTATGCGTTGACCTTTTTTACTTTTGACTGAAAAGTATGAAATTTCAGAGTATTTGCGCAAAAAAAGGTACTCTTAGTTCATATTGGTAGAATGTTCCATTTTGTGTAAAATCCGTTTAATAATAATGTGTTAATTACCGGGAATCGAAATTGTCAATATTTTTTATCGTAGAGGGTTGTGAAGAACAAAAACGCGTTTGGTGTCATTTGCAGTTATTTACTTTTTGCGAATTTATTATTTTTAGTAAATTATTGTTTGACAAAGTTAAAAAAAAAAACTATTGAAATTATTAAATAGTAATACAATAAACTAATAATAATAATTGAAAACCACACTATTAATAAAACTTATCTTTATCTCAATAGTAATTTTTATAGCAAATGCTCAAAAGGATTTTCATTTTAATGAATAAATTTTTCAGCTCGACGTCGAATTGCCAGCGAAGACCTCAAAACTTCAAAAATTATTTTGTCTGAGTTGATTTGCAGCCAAATGAATCCTCTGTTGTAATTCTTCCAAAGGATTTATTTCTGTGGCGTAAACAACAGCCATCATCCTACCCCACAGAAAGTAATCTAGAGGATTTAGGTCTAGAGATCGAGGTGGCCATGGAATGGCTGGATGGATGGATGGATGGAATGGCCACCTCTACGTATCTACCTGCTAGGAAAATGATCGTTTAACCAATTTATGGCATAATGGGTAAAGTGAGGTGGTGCCCCATCTTGTTAATAGTCTAACGTTAAGTGTACGTTTAACAGTGTATCATCCAACAGTTATCTCACATAATTTTGCAGAAAGTTTAAGTATCCTTATGCATTCAGGCAGACGGGAAACTGAATTGGTCCAAGTAGCTGATCTCCCAAAATTCCTGTCCACATATTTATCGCAAATCTATATTAAAAATTTGTGAGCCATATTGAACGTGGATTTTCGTCTGACCAGAAATGGGTATTATGAATATCTGCTAGCTCTACATTCGTAAAATGTTGTATTTTCGACAGGCAACAATTCGCAAAAAGTAAATAATTGAACTGCCAATGCAAATGAGGCAAAACACATTTTAATTATTAAGGATTCTCGGTGATTAACACATGTAACATTATTTTTAAACGAATTTTACATAAAAATGGAATATTGTACCAATCTGAACCAAGAGTACCCTTTTTTACTAAAAAACTGAAATTTCATACATTTCAGTCAAAAGTTAAAAAAGTGAAAGCATAAAAAAGCTATGGTAAATTGTATCCCACTCATCGCAGTGTTAGAAGGTATGTGATGAAAATTTGTTAATTTCGTTTTAGTAGCGGACTGAGCACGTAAGAGTTAAGCTAGTTACCAAATTTCATAAATTTATCTCAACTCGTTTGGGAGTTACGTAGAAAAAAACATCATCAGAGCGGCCCCTTTAAGTGCCTATAACTTCCTTAGGAAGAATTTTTGGACCCACGTTTATATAAAGAAAATGTAATATTTTTCGACATAGAACACCCTGTAGAAATATTGCCCCTAATTTCGGGACACCCTACGCCATACCAAACTTTTTTTCAATATAACATCTTGTATATTTGTCGATTTTGTTATTATTCTCATTTTTCCGGTTGTAATAATATACAGGTCATAATACTCGCTTAGTCAACTTACAAATTTTGGTTTAATTACTAATCAATCCTTCACGATAAAGCTTCTATTATTAAATTTACTAAACAGATATTTAAATATCTTATTAAGAAAATACTAGACAATTATACAACGCGTATAATAACAATATTGTTTGAAAGTGTGACAGAAATCTACAAATTATATTTACTTACAACAACAGTTGTAAAAAATAATCGTTACATAAATGTCTCGTGTTCATATTTTTAAACAAAGTTTGACATACATTGTAGCATTATTTCTTACAAGTTTCATGATAATATTTTTATAGATAGCCGTCAGTGTTCAGGTACAAGTCATTGCTTTTAATAAACTCTCTTAATCATGTAATAACTTTCAGAAGACCTGCTTGTGTAAAGGTACGTAGGTCATTCTTTAGATAATTTCAGTATTATATGGACTTTCTCTGAAGAGTACACAGTGTTTCAATAACAGCAAATAATTCTTTATCACAAAATTGGTAAGATTTATAGTTGATAACTTTCCATACTTATCTAAATTTCTTACACATATATAATTTGTTATATATTATATATTTGTTTCTTATACATAATTTGTTTAAAACATCAATATAAGAATTCAAAATAATGTAGTCATCTTATCGGTTATATCGTTCTTTAATGCAATGCGATAATATGCCACGTTTTATATGGATTAAGGTTAAATTCTTCTTAAAATGGGTTATATAAGTATATAAATATTGAAGAGGACAATCTCATATCTAAAAAATCGTGCAATATTCTTTAATAGCTCTTAAAGCTGACCAAAATCACGAAAACTTTAGCAAGATATTCTGTATTTACCTCCATTTCGTCCTTCTGTTTTGAAACCACGTTTTAACCTGCGCGTCGGTCATCTTCAAAGTTTTCGCCAGGGCTGCCCTTTCCGCCGACGCTAGGTACTTCTGTTTGTGAAACCTTTTTTCCAGCTCTGCTATCTGAAGTCTAGTGAACGACGTCCTGGGCTTCTTTCTCTTCGGAGGTGTTCTGTTTTGGTACGGGTGGCCTATCCGCCTCGTCATAGGAAACGTCGCTGAAACAAGAAGTAAATTTTGTTGATTTTCATCTAACGAATGAACATATGTTGATTTAGCTCATCGTAGAATGAACATAGCTTAACATCAATCAGTGATAAAAACGTGCATTTAAACGTTTCTTCCAAGAAATGTGATTTTCACGACTTTTAAGTTACTAGTGCCGTTTTAGGTAATATTTATACTGACCAGCAGAATGTTGCATTAAAATAATTTAAAGTTAGGCTATGATAAAAACGTTCAAAAGTTTCTTTAAACATCCTTTACAAAGTGTGATTTTACCACTCTTAAATTACTAATGTCTCGCTTGGCACTGTTTATACTAGCTAGTAAAATAAACATGGGTCAAGATTTAGGCTGATAAGAACGTACATTTAAACGTTTCTTTAAACGTTCTCTCGGAAACGATATTTTTACCACATTAAAACTGCGAATGCGTAGTATTTCTGACCAATAGAATGAACATAGCTGAAAGCTAGACTGCGATAAAAACGTGCACTTAATGGTTTGTTTAAACAGTTATTATCGCGAATGTTGCAACATTTTAATTACTAACGTCTTGTTACGTAATATTTGTACTGACCTACTAGTAAAGTGAATCTAGCTTGAGGCAAAGTTATAATAAAACGTGCGCTAAAACGTTTTTTAAACATTCTTCAAGAAATGCGATTTTTACCACTAGTATTTTTTTAGGTACCGTTTACACTAAACCTAGCTTAAGGCTATGCTGTGATAAAAACGTTTCTTTAAATATATTTTTAAGGAATGCGACAATACCATCGCTAAATTACTTTAAAATAAATTTATTTTGTTGGGTAGATAGAATAAACATAGCTTAATACCAAACTATAATATAAACGTGGATTAAACGTTTTTTAGCGAATATGAATTTTACCACTTTTAAATTGTGTATTGTTGAATAGGATGAACACATCAATATAGCTTAAGGTTAGTCTGTGATAAAATTGTGTATTTAAACGTTCTTTAAGAACGGTGATTTTTATCACTTTACCTAATTAGTAATTACCAGTGTCTTATTGCATAACGTTTATATCAACCAATTATCCGAGTAATGAAACCGTAAATTCAGATACGAAGTATAAGGTTAATCCAATAAGACACTTAAAATTTACTGGTTCTAATTGTGCAAATAAAACTTTAATAGTGCAAGTTAATAGTCCCGTCCTTAGCTGCATGCAATTTCGAGAAACTGCGTCTCGAAAAGACGAGATCCTGTCGAAAAGTGGTCATTATATTGTTTTTGCTGTGACATTTTGACGGTAAGAAATGCAGTGGCTTGTAATTAGGAACAAATCGTGTATATCCAAAGGTAATAAACGTCTAAAAAGCGTTGATGCTTAATGATAATCGCTTCGGTGACTGGTTACTCATCATTTGTTTTTCGGAGAAACGATAGTCGTAATATTCTGCGTTGACTTGGTGAGGCTAGTTTGTGGGTTGTGGGAACATTGTTAGACCTAGAATGCGAATCATGTAACATTAATTTCTTGAATGAGACATGTTTTATTAAAGAAAATTCAATTTATGCAACTGTCACGAATTTTCGTTAGGTACTATCAGTTACTCCTACCAAGTTATTTTGTATAAGTAGTTCTATGCATAAAAGTAAATGAATTATTTCTTGATAAAAAATTCTTATTGCATTAATTCGAATAGCTATTGAGCAAATTGCCATGCAATAAGTAAGTAGTTATAGATTATGGCTAACCACAAATATTTTACAATATCCACTATGTGTACAATTTTACATAATTCTAATATTATCGTTAACGAAAAAATCAGGCACTGCAATTGTATAGTTTTTTGAGAAATTATTACATGCAGCAGTTTGTGGAGCATAAAATACGTTTTATATTGTGGTTGGTGAAGTTTTTCAAACAAAATGTTGTAACTTAACTTGTACCTTGTGTGTGATTGTAAAGTAAATACATAAATTAAACTAGAGCTTTTGCATTAGAGCCAAATCACGTCAAGTGGACCCCCTATTTGCCAGCTGATCATGAACTTAAACAATATTCATTTTTACATCGCAGAGCAACGAGCGGTGTCCGTATACACCGTGCTGCCGCGCGTAGTTGACTCGGCTTGAACTCCAGTCAGCCGACGATTAAAACAACTTTTTTATAATTAAACATAATTCTATTACTTGAACTTTTTTAAACATTATATTTGTAACAAATATATAAAAAATTATTGCTTTTATTTATAAATAAAGACAGCAAACATAAAATGAATACATAAATGCAATTTTAATTTAAAAACAGTTTTAGACTATGATTATTTGTAATGATTACTTTTGATTAAAATATGTGGACCATGATCTATGATCAATGGAAAAGGTGGGGGTCCACTTGACGTGATTTGACTCATTAAATAAAAATCTCATTCTCTTTGAAATAAAAAGAAAGTTTCAGTTCCTTTAGTCAGAAAAAAAGGATCGACAATTTTGCAAATTTTAATTATTTTCAGTTTATTATTATTGTCCTATTAGTCCTTTGTAGACAAAACCTATGATCGTCTCATTCCCTTCAACGACTGTCAATTAATCAGATATAGATTTTTCCGGCAGATTAACTATGACATAAGCCAGATAATTGTCGTATGAAAACAATACACTGTAATTGCTTTCGCTGCATTATCCTAGATTATTAAGTCATAAATAATACGAGCAACGGCAACGAGATAGAGATATTAATAAGGCAATTTAATGAGACTATTAAAATAAGTAGTGTATATAAATAAATGCCTACAGAGATATTTTAAAAGCTGCAATTAATAAGGTTATAGCAGCGCTTATTCCGTCCCTCTCTGCGAAACGTTAGATTATAATTCCCGCATTTTTACCATGTTATCAAACCTAAAAGCATTATGTTGTTTTGCATTAAACAACTGATTATGTGCATCACGTTCAGTCTTGCTTTATGGCCAACTTAAAACGGCCGTGATTAATTTCAGTTTGATAATGATGGGATTTTAATAGCTCTTTTACGGGTAAGTATGTTGTTTTAATATCCCGCTATTGTGCCGTGAATACGCTTAATCACTCACTTCTCTTTGTCCCGCAGCGTCGCGATTTCGCGAACCACCAACATTAACCGCTTATCTCGCTAGACGAGCCTAGGCGAGTCCGTTTTACAGCCGTCATCTTCGAGACGAGGTTCATGAGAAGGAGATTGAGGCATTTGTACCAGAGACGGCTTTAGAAGCAAAGGGAATTATATATTTTCTTCAAAAGATTTGTCCTAACATATTTAACACGTATTTTGTAATATTTTGAGTCTCGATCGTTTTGTGAATTCAAATGCACTAGGCACAGAAATTAAGGAATATTAAAAGAATCCCAAAATTTTGGGTGATTTTCAAAGAGCTGTAACTTGGAGGTAAATGGTCGTAGAGGGAACACAAAAAAAAGAAATTGAAGCTTCAAGTTTCTAGTTTTCGGATCTGGAGTTTAAAATTCTTTAGTGTTAGCAGTTTTTGAGTAATCATAAGAAAATCAACAAAAAAAATTCTTCTTCTTTAAAAAGGCCTATGAATTTCAGAATTTTTTTTTTTAATCATAATCTTAAATCGCATTCAAATTCAAATGTAAAGCTACCTTTTTTATTTTATGGTGTTTTTACACATAAAATAACGAAAAAGTACCGCAAGCCAAAACCTTGTATCTTCTTTCAAACTGAAGTTATTAACAAAAGTTTAGATAAAATGATATTTTTTTGAGGAGTTGGGGAAAAATGTGTTATTTATTCCAACATCCAGTATTTATCTGCATAGAATACCGAGCATCTGATAGATTATTACTACCCTTAGGAGACTGAGTGATCAAATAATTTAATAACAATGCGAAACAAATAAACAATAATAGCTAAAACAAAGATAATCTGTTCACAAAAATAACATTTTATAATTTTAATTTAACAAGTGTTCAAAGTGACCTCTATTATTTTCTACACATTTTAGATACCTTTGGAGGGTAGAAAACACAGCAGTTTCAATGTCTGCCATTGAAATAGAGTTTATAGCATTTCTGATATGATTAATTATATCCTTGCGCGTAGTTGGTCACGTTTGATAGACAATATCTTCTAGCCTTCCCCATAAATAGAAGTCTAAAACAGTCAAATCGCGACATCTGGGAGGCCAACCGAATGGTCCACCTCTTCCAATCCACCTGTTGCGAAATTGCGTGTCCAAATAATTTATGACATTTTGAGAAAAATGCGCCGGGCAGCCATCATGCTGATACCACATATTTAAACGGGTGGCTATTGAAACATTTTCCATAAGAAGTGGTAGTTCATTCCTTAGGAAGTTTAAATATCTCTCGCCATTGAGAGTTTCTTGAAAAATAAACACAATTATCTTTCCTTCAACAATACCGCATCACACATTAATACTAAATTGATTCTGGTGATCAACATCCGCACTGGATGATTAAAATTAATCATCCAGTGCGGATTGTTTGCTGCCTAATAATGAGTATTGCGTAAGTTTACTTTACCCATGCTAGCATGTAGCTTCATCAGTCCACAAGATTCTAGATAAAAAATTTGGATCGTCTTGTAATTTGTTAAGTGTCCATTGACAAAACTGCAATCTTTCATAAGTATCTAATGCATAGAGGGTTTGCTGCAATTCGACATGGTATGGATGCATTTTATGGTCCTTTAAAATCCGCTGGATGGATACTCCTATGTCTATTTTTATATCTCTTATACTTGACCGAGGATAAGCTTCAATGTATCCCAGTACGTTTACCACATTTTCCTCAATGCAGATACTTCGGTATCTATTTGTAGCTATTACCCGTAGAACATGTCTAGTTTGTCTCAAACGTCTTGCAAGGCAGGTAAAAACCATTCGTGGGAAGTGCGTTCTTTGGGGATACCTCAAGCAGTACTCGTGCGGCAATAACAGCATTTTCAAAACATTCAAAGAACATTGCATGTTGTACGCTTCAGTGATGGAGTATGACATT